TAAGCTCATTCTGCAATTTTGGACTCACAATTTTCAATGCTCCAATTTCCTGATTTATAATTTGAGTGCTAAAATGGGTGTTTTTGGTATTCTTTCAGACTGGTGATGCAATAAATAAGTGTGTATGTGTGTGTGTGAACTAGTAGACTAAATAAGAGAAGATAAAAAATAGATTTGGAGAAGCAGAGAGAGAGAGAGAAAGAGAGAGAGAGAGAAGGAGAGAAAAAGAGAGATGAGTGAGTTAAGTAAACAAATACATGTAAGCTCAGGTTTGTTTATTTTGTTTCATTTGTTTGCCATTGTGTTGGGAAACCAAGAGCAAGAGACCCTAAACACCCTCAGTTCTATACAGAAAACACACTGCATGGAACCACCCCTTGGATAGAAGCATACTCTTCAAGTTGACCTCATGTAGAGACCAGTGGACAAATGTTATGGAGAAAATAGTGAATTCAAGATATTGTGCATTTCATTAATGGGGTTTTGTGTGTATATAATAAAAGAGAACTGATTGTATGTTGTATAGAAAGTAGACTGATGATTTTATCTTGTATCTAGAGAAGAAAGCAGTGGTAGCTTCAAAAGATGGGTTACCAGGGGAACAATTTGTTCACATTTGTGAGGGATAAAAAAAATAATAATAAAACTGGTAAGGTTGCACCTAACAGAAGAAAGCAAAACTTTCATGTATGTGTCATTAGCAACAAAAGTAAGAGGGCAGCCACCAAGCAAAGCAATTTCAGCAATTTAACACTACAAGATATAGCATCTATGATAGCAATGATGTGGACTGTAAGATGAAAGAATTTTAGATGTGAAGGAACTCTGACAAAGGGAGAAGTGAGAATAGAGAAGAAAGAGGAAGTTCGGGAACTCTGAAGAGGACTGAGACCTTAGGTCAGGGCTCCATGAGGATCTCACAGATGAGCCTCTCAAGGGAGCTACATTTATCATGTCAGAGAGCTGCAATATTCAGAGAAACAGATAAAAGATAACCACTAGACCTGCTTAAAAAGCTGTATCAGTTTCCTCCATCTGTCCCCTCTTCTGGAAGAGCTAAGGTTAGAAGAGGACAGAGAAGTAGAGTGAAAAACAACACATTCTTCTCTCATCCAACTTCCTTGAACATTAGATCTAGCAGGCAAGGAGAGAGAAGAAAGCTTTGACTAAGACATAATACTAGAGTTTCAAAATAAGTTGGATCAATTTACAGAAACTCAAAGTAACCAGAATCATGTGTCTGCCAAAATGTTATTAAGGAGTGGCAAGGCAATTGAAAGCAGTGCTCATCATATTTCATGGCAATCTCTGCTAGGTCAATAACGTTTATTAAACTTGTTATACACATACACAGTTTTTCTGAAGAAGTAGTATACTTCATCAAGAACTTTGGTTTGCTATAAATCTACTTGAAAATATCTTTCATACAATTTACATTGATTTAACTAGGAGATAATTATTTTTGTTAGTCATTCCCTTTTTCTTCTATCTGTTTCTGATACATGACAACTCACTTTCTGACACTCTGCTTTTTGACAATATGGCATAAAATTCCAATTCCAGTTACAAGAACATGAGAGAGAATCCTACTATCTTCATAATTATCAAATATTAATATCAATTAAGTGGAACAGTGTTGACATTGCAAATGTTAGTGGATTATTATTTATACCCTATTGCTCTTTTGTCTGTTAACAACTATACATATTTTTTAAAATAAAGACATTTGAACAAATAGAAATTTCCAATTTATTTAAGCTTTTAACATAAACTATGCTGAGAGATTTGGAAGTTGATCACCCAAAGATTATTGGAGTTTAAATAAATAACTAAATGTGTTTTTGCTGAAAGGAAAAATGTAAGTTTATTTAACATATTTGTATTTTCAACAAAGAACTGATGAAGCTCAACAAAAATAATGTAAACAACCCCATCAACAAATGGGCAGAAGAGCTAAAAAGATACTTCTCCAAAGAGGAAATGCAGATGGCCAACAAGCATATGAAAAAATGTTCAACATCACTTAGAATAAGGGAGATGCAAATTAAAACCACAATGAGGTATCACCTCACCCTAGTGAGAATGGCACATCTTAAAACAACTAACAACAACAAATGCTGGAGAAGATGTAGAGAAAAAGGTACTCTCCTGGGCTGCTGGTCTTTCCTAAGCTGTGGTCTCTGTACCAGTATGTGAAGATCAATATTAATTTTGTAAGAAATTATACATTCTTGAACAAGAATATTGTTCAAGAGACTATGGATGAGCATTTTGTTATTTTTTTTTAACAAATCCTTTAGGAGGTTCTGGAATATGCTTATTTGAGAACTGCTACCTTGAATTAACAGACCTCCCACTGAGTATACTTTATATTACATGGAAAGCACAAACCATGTTGAAACTTGATTTGATGGAGGTATCCAAATATTATCCTAATTAAAACAAATTTTGAAAAATGCTGATTCTTGGATCCCACTCTCAGAGATATATATGTAATAAATCTGGAGTAAAGTATGTACAAATAAATTTAAAGATGCACATTTGATTCTTTTGCTAACAACTAATGTTAAGAAAAATTCTAATTTTTATTTTTGATGTGAGGTTAACAATTCTATTTTTTTTTTAAGATTTACTTTAAAAAACCTGGGGTCTAGGCCACTAGACCCAGAGGTGCAGGGTGGGGGTTTGAGAAGATTTATCACAGACAAATTGAAGGTGAGAACAAGCAGACAGACTGAAATATACTACTGAGGGAAGCAGCATGCAAAAGAGGGAAGTCTGCTTCACCATGTGGGTCAGTTCCCTGGTTGGGTCTCAACCTCATGCAGCAGTGCCGTGGAGAGCTTGATAGCTCTGACTTTAATAACTGCATCAACAGGGAGACCCCAAGATTGAAATTCTAGATGTTATTGAAAGTATGGACTTCTAACAGTCTTCACCATTTTAATGCACCCTCTCTTACTTGTAGTTTTAATTTACAAATTATTCTTTCAACATGTGAAAACTACTAGAAAAGTTAAGTTTGTTTAAATATTAAGACTCCTCAAGGGCTTTTCCAAATCTGTGTTTGCCCAAATGTAATCATAACATAGAATGTACAATTAACTGGTTGCAAATGCAAATACAAATAAAATGATTTAGTTCTGTAAATAGGTGTGAGCAAGTAACACTGAAAATTTGACCCTCAGTTACAGTAACTTCAGCTCCAAATAACTACTGCAGATATTTATAATCATAGATTTCATGTTTCTGAATATAAATATTAATACTATTTTCACTGTAAAACTTTAGTTCTTAAACACTACAGAAGTTGTTTATGGAGTTCATGTGTAACTAAATTGATAGCATCTTCTTTGAGTACTATTCTATGGTTAAACCTACTTATGTAATAGGCAAAACTTAGATCAGATTTCCTCCCCATTAGATGTTAAAATATTTAATACACAACGATAAATGAAACTCACTATAGGTGTTTGTGCATAATATATTTGTGGATATATAAAATGCCATTATCTGACCACATTGCACAATCTGTTCATGGTCCCCCAAATCAACCTTAAAATGGTTAAGTTTTAGTTTGATGTATACCTGATTCATTAGCAAGCCCTGTTATTAATTTAACTTGTGATCTAAACAAGTTGTTAGCTATCTCTAAATGTTTTTTCCCTTACCTATAAAATGTGGATGGCAATATTTATGCATATATTTATTGCAAAATTCATGCCTATAAGTCTGCACCAGTCTTTTTTTTTTTCCTCATTAAAGGTATGTAAGATCACTGGTATAATTATTTTCATTATTATTGGAATTGTTTTATTTGTCTCTTGCTATAATTCAAATAAAAGTTCTTATTCTAAAACAATCATAAGGTCAAAGATCTAGTTGAAATACTCTTAATGAATTTACTTATGTCTTACCCTAGATTGTTTTTAAAGAATTTTTTTATCTGAATGGAGACTCTGATTTCGCAGTCTCTGTACTTAATTTTATAGGTCACTCATAGTATTTCTGGTATGCCATGGATGAAGATGCTGAGAACAGAGAAGAAATCCTAAAATATGGAAATATCTACCAAGAAACCCAACCATCTTTTGGACTACATGATTAATCTGACTATTGGGAAAGAGAGATGATATACTGCTCAACACTTTTTTTTTTTTTTTTGGAGCAGGACTTGATCATCTACATATGCATGTTTAATAATACCATCAACTCTATACTTTATTCAGAGGTTAAAAACTCAATAGTCCAGTGCAATGAAAGATTTTTAAAGAAATGTTTAGGTAAAGAGAGAATGAATTCCCTAAGAGAATCACTTCAACTGAGAAGTTTTAAAACACACTTATTTTCTAACTGTTATAAGTATTATTAACATAGGACCACATTATTAAAATATGTATTCAACTATATATATATATATTAACAGTTATGCTAGTTATGTTTTTTTGCATACACACATGCACACACACACATATGTTTTCCCTAATTTCTAATAACATTTGCCACAGTAAATTTGAAAACCCATAAACTTGCCTGGAATAATTTTAACCTGGTTCACTCCCCATATTATGTTTCACTATACATAATTGATATTGCTTCAACAATATACCAGATGCCTGCCAACAAGAAACATGTCCTCATTTACTCTGAATGTCACTCAATGAGCTATCCTGTTTGAAAAATTTAATCATTGTAGACATAAGATTAATAATGAACATTTGAGAATGTCCGTTAGTCTCATAATAAGCACTTCCTAATAAAACTTGCAATGTTTGGATCCATTTATTTTAGCAGTGGATATGGTTACTGCCTCAAGCATGGGATATATTCTGAAGTTATCATGAAAGTATACACTCAGGCCCAAAGGCAGTAATAAAAAGCAACAGATCTCCTGACTTGTGAACTTAGATTTATAAAGAAATAAATAGACTTTTGAGAAAGACTGTAGTAAAAGACTCTTGACACAGCCCCTTCTAACAGCATGCTTCACTCACACTTACCACAAGATGCCATTTCATCTGTCTGGTCACCACAGTCGTCTTCCCTGTCACACAACCATGCTCTTGGAATGCAGCGCCCATTTCCACAAGAAAATTGGTCTATCTGGCAAGTTCTGGCTATGATGGTCAATGAATGTACAAAAAATATATTTAGAAGCTTTTGAAGAACATTAGGGAAAATATAAATCACACAATATAAATTTTTACATAAAATATTATATTGCTTTACTAGATAAAACATTAAACAGCACTTTTTCTCTTAATTTTTGACAATGCCAGATTGCTTGTCTTCACTAAAATTCACAAGATTTGACCTTCAATTAGAGTGACAGCTCAGTGACAAGATTTTCAGTAATCCTCTCACACGACCATAAATGAATGTTATGAATTCATTATTTTAAATTTTGTGCTAGTGCATGCTTATGAATATATGGCTGAATTAAATTTCATCCAACTTGTAGTTAAGAAGAAAGAATTTTGCAGTACATTTGCCAACAAACTAAGAAAACTTGCCATGAGGAAGGCAGGGGGATTGTATTCTGTCTCATGGCACCTAGTTTATAGTCATGGGTTCAGAGTTGTCCTTTTCCATTAGTATTTTCAATTGATTAATTTCTTTACCTAAAGGATCAATTGAACAGAGCAGGAGTGCACTGCATACCTTCTAAAATACACATTTATTGTTTGCATGGATTTTTAACTCACTTTTCAATATAGTTATAAAAAACATACATTTTAATAAAAATAAATCAACACACTTTGCTTTGGGCTCTCTTAAGGATTAACCCACATATAAAATCTTACCTTCTATGTTAGCCAAAGGCAGCCATTAAAATTATTTAGTAAAAAAGGTTATATTCTGTAAGGAATTTGACTGTCATTTCTATTACAAATAGTGAACTGTGAAAACATGAAAGGGTGAATAGTTTCCTTCCTCTTACCCCTAGCTTTACATTATTATACATGTAATTATTTTTAAATATTTGCTTTTCTTTTGGTTTGTTCCTTAAACTAAAGATTTGTCTTCATAAGCATGTTATCCCACCTACTGTTTCTTTTCACTGACTATAGATAGGAGTTGGAAATGTTGGGAAGAGGATCTCAGACCAATGAATATTTGATTAGATGAGTGTTAGACTGATGAGAAGCATAAAATGGTTTCCATATTTAAGATATAAGAACATTGCTTAGTTTGTAGATTTTCTCTTGTTTCCTGAGCTTGAGAATCATAAGGAAGTTTCTGTTTCACCAGAAGACCCTGGAGTGATTAGAATACCCTGGAGTGATTCAAAGTCAACTCATCAACATATGCTAAAACACCCATGAGACTGTTCAGCAGGCACATAAAAAAAATCTGAAAATGTTATATACTAGCTATTTCCTTTAAATCAAAGTATACTCACAGTGTAAAGATCACCATTAATGCTGAAAACTAATAAGATTACTTGATCTAGTGAATTGGAGATACCATTTCTAATCTCAGTGTCTATATTAAGAGTTACACCAGAAATATCAGTATACTATGTATTTGCTTTGCTTTTGTTGATAAGGGTCTTCAGTATAAAATATTTTTATTGTAACTGTTTTTTTATTTTTATAAATTGTTTATTATAAATGAACTAATTATAAGTAACCCATCACATACAAAGTCTTCTCAAATTTCCATTGTTGAAATTTTCAGTAATATTACACTTTTAAATTGTCTCATTTTGCTAATTCTATAGATTTCTTGTTATTTTTCCTATTATGTATACTAAGTCAATAAAGCTCCTAGGTAATTTTAATAAAAGTATGTCTACTTGGACAATTTTCTTATATGTTTGCATTAGCTTAGAGAAGAGACAAGATGTTGGTATTAATTAACTTGTGAAATGGGAGAGCATGGAGCAATAAAAAAGATGAACAGGGCCCTCCCTGGTGGCGCAGTGGGTTAAAGCACAGCACTGAGAATCTGGAGCCACTTCTGCATGAGTTCAATTCCCGCCTGCCCCGGAGGTGACCACATGGTGTGGCAGACCTCTCCTGACCCACCCGCTGCTCCCCTCAACAGTGTACTTCCTCCATCTGCCTGTTCTGTTCCCCACTCTGTCTCTGAACACCTTGTTTTTTTTTTTGTTTTTTTTTTTTTTATCTTATGTCCTATGTTGTTTCACTGGTTGCAGTACTTTTTTACTGTGTAATCTTCAAGAGAAATTTAAAACACCCTTTCTTACTTTTCTCCACTTTTCCTTTTTTCCTATATCGTCTTTTCCTCTCTATGTATTCTCTACCTATTTTACTCCTTTATTCTATTTTGCTTTCTCACTTTAAATAAAATTATATCACATATTTCTATCTTTAATAAATCATAGTTTATCATAATAAAATATATTAAGATTCCCATACCATATTATTTTATTTGATGTTCTTATGTCAACATATTCCCTTGGGTTTACTTTTAGTAAAGTTTTCTGGGACTGTTTCTATCACCAGGGAAACTATGTGATCAGAGAGAATGAGACAGCATTTCTATGAAACTATCTCATATTGTGTGTGACCTGTGCCACAATGTGACAGTGTGGGAATTTGTGGTCATCTCATTAACTTTGAATCTTGAAGAGCTGTTATGACCTATTACTCCAAAGAAATTTACTGACTTATTGTTAAAGGATACAATACCTTGAAAAATATATGAATCATTGCCTGTTCTAATCATGGAGAAAATGACATGCTTAGTGTAACAGACAAATCTAACTGATTTCAGATGTGAAAGATGTGTCATTCTATGAATCTACAAGCACTGATATAACCAGGTTGACTATTTATCCCATTCTAATCACTGGGTTTGTATCAAAAAGACCAAAACCTTTACTTTTCAGCTCCTATCTCCCTTAGATCTAAATTAGTTTGCAAGTGAAATTAGCATAACAGCCCTAGAGAGCTCTAATTTTTAGAAATACTGCTCTAATGAAGAGGAAATGTACACCTCCTTTGTGGATTTGTTTATATAACAGTGAATCAGAAATCCACTGTCACAATGTGAATTATTTTTCTATGCATTATTAATTATACTTCTCTTGTAGTTATATAAGAGAACAAAAAAAGAAAGAAACCACAATGCTCAGAAACAATAAAGAAATGGAGAAGAGAACATAAAATAACTATACTTATAATTTCTGCATTTTATTTAAACAAAGTCAGTGTCAGATCAAAAGTTATCTTGCAAAAAATCTGGAATTTTACATATCAGGTTTTCCTAATCCAACTATATCTATCTAAAATTTATTTCATCAAAACTTGTAAGGATCTGAGAAAAACAAAACAAACAAAAAAAAATGTAAATAAGCCAGAGTTTTCCACTGGGGGAAAATGCTGCTATGAAGTTGCCTAAATTTGAATCCAATAGGCATTGTTGCAATAAGGATAAAAGGAATTCAGAACTTACTACTTCTCATCTTTGGCTTATCTCCCTTACATGTTAATAAATATACCTATTTCTGTTTTGAGTGCAAACAACTGCCAAGCACCTAACTATGTCACTACTTATCTGCCTCTGTGTATTCTGTTTCCTTCCAGGCACATTCTCTATTTGCTTCACCTCATCCTCAATAATCTATACCTATCAGTTCCATTAGTGCCATAAAAATATTTTGATAATCCAAAAAATTATATGAAAAAATAAAAGTAATATCTATTTGCCATAATACAGTTATATCAAATTTTGATGTTTTCTATATTTGCTGATACTTTTTTTAAGAAAAAAAGAGTATTAGTTAACATTTGAAATTCTCTATGTTCTCTTTCTTAAATCACATTTCCTTCATTTTCTAGGGGCTATTTATTTTTTTTCATTTCAAGATATCCTCAACCCTATTCTTTCACATTTGTAAATCAATTTGCAAATATGAATGTTTTATATTACTGTATAGCGTATAAATGGTACTAGAACTTAGTTTTTGGTTAGCATTACATTAGAAATGTTATCCTCTTCTTATTTTAGATTGAGTTTACTCATTATAATTATGAATAGCATTTCATTATGTAAATATATATATATATATATATATATATATATATCTTTACTCTCATAGCACAGTGTCTTGTTAGAGTTCCTGCATTAGTTGTTTTGTTCCTCACAATATTGGCAATACTTCAGTTTATAAGTTTATTTATTTTTCCTAGTTGAATGACCTCAACTGTTAAGTTAAATATTTCTTATAGTTTTTCTCTAAGACTTCACTTGGAAATCTCTTATCGTGAATATTTCCCTGATTGCCAGGGAAACAACTAAACTAGATGTTCTTTTTGGTGCCACTATGTATTTCATTTAAACACTTGGATATTACATTAGAATATCTGTTTATATTTTTCTACCTAGCTTCACTCTTAAAGAAAAGCATCATTTATTTTTCCTTATTGTATCTCCAATCTTGTGGTAAATATTTACTTAAGTAGTAAACATTTAAGGGATAATTACTACAGGAATAAATTAAGAAATTTTCTTCTTCTAGGGAAGGATTTTTCTTTAAATAAGATATAGTCACAATACTAAGGATACAGAGAAATGGATTAAATTACATAATAATCATATAGAAAAACTTATTTAGGATACATACTCATACATAAGCTTTCTACAAGTGTGTAGAAATGCAAGAGAAATTGACCTTCCATCATTTTCCATAAGCTGCTCTATGACCTACTTACTAATTTCAGTAAAAAAAAATAGTGCATTGTCATAAAATACACTTAGTTTTAAAACTAAAACTAAAACTTACTTTTTTTTTTTTTTTAAGCTGGCATCACTAAAAGTGTAACTTGAGGAGAAAACTACTTGAATTCTACTTCCTAATGTACTACTGTAGTGAAATTTCACTAGTTCAGATGATTCAATTTTTAATTATTTAACTTTATGTATAACATTCACAATTTTATACTATTTGTAGCTAGTCAATCTCAAATACCCCTTTAAAAACCATGTAGAGAAAAAGCATACTTAAAATTTAATAGAAATGAAGAAGATATGGTATTGCAAATTGAGTCAATAATGCTTTTTAAATTAAGATATAAATAGATTTTAACTGTTTAGGATGTAATGAAGCATAGTCTCTGTTTGAGCCATAATCTTAAAGCAATAATTG